CTTGAAATTCCATGGCTTCGGTATGATTAAATGTGTGTTCACCTTAATACTTAGTTTAGCTTACTTAACACTTAATTGCAGTCTGGGGATTCCAAAATCAATTCCGTCTAAACCAATGATTTTACAAATTTATGTTTGCATCCTTTAAAATGATTCTCTTGCTTCGCATTTTGTAAGGCATGTAAAGCTTTCGTCCAATAATCATCGTCAGAGGTCTTGATATGCAACGAATTCACCTGGAATTAAGCACATTGTTTTCTAATAGGGACCGCGAGGAGGTCGACCCGACAGGATATATTGCTAGCAATATATGCAATGGGAATGCTAGTCTCAATTACTAATAATCTCTTCATGATTTCGATTGTCATTGGTTAATTCAATGACATATTATTTATGAACATCGCTAAATGATTTCATGAATCTGTTTTTGTCATTTACCATCTTTAAATTCAAAGAATAGTGGTCATATTTAATTAAACATCAATTTATTGTTAATTTAAGCAATCATTTACATAACTATATTCAACTGTATAAAAATACAGTCAACAGAAAATAAATTAGTTCCGCTGTTTAGTTTTATCTTATTAACGTTAGTAAAAAAAAATAGTCGAAATTGACTTGTTTTCGTGATACTGTACAATGTTTTGATCCGGATACGAAACGTCTAAGCGTCTAATAATGATAAGCAACATTTAAACATAGTATATTGATAAAAATACTTTAATATTAGAGAACTATGAAGTTTAATCCAAATGGTAGACGTATACAAAGGGGGGTTTAAAGAGTACTTATGTCCCTATTTCAAGGGGTCAGGATTGTACTAGAAAATTATTCTAAATACCAATGGACCACCCCTTCCTTTCCTATAGGTGTCGTAAGTGGTGACTAAAGGAATTTAATGGTAGAGAAATGGGCAACAGCGTCCCTCTTAAAACATCGCAAAAAGCTAATTGCAGTTGCCAAACCGCCTACCAAGTGTGACAACTACTGGCGAAACCCCCCAATAGTGGGAGGCCTTTGTTCAGCAGTGGACAGTTAACGGCTGATGTGGTATAGCACACTATACCGGGGGAAAGGGATTGTTAGTAATGGAGACTGAGAATCCCATTGCTAGCAATATACCCAATCAGGTCGACCTCGCGGTTCTCCCTGGAAACTATCATGGTTAATTCCTGATGAATTCATTGTGATGGGCTAACTGGCCTGTTTTCATTCTCATCTATCACTCTTTACTGGTGCTCCGCCAGCGTATCCCGTTAGCGCAAGTGGGGTTACCATTCCATTATCACCCATTAAAAAAAAAGCACACTATACCACAACGTCAATGATCCAAATGAAATACCTACGTAAATAATCTCGTTGCAAAATCATAAACGACTCGCACAAAAAATACAACTGTATTTAAAACCTGCTTTTTAAAGTCAATAGAAAAGTGACATACGTTTCAGTAAACAAAAGTTTGCTGACGTGCGTGGTCTAATTTTAGTTTCTAACTTGATAGATCCCTTGCTGCGTTCCGACCTTTCTCGTAATACCCGTAGCGATCGAAACGGCGAACGAATTAACTCTATTTGTTATTGTCCCAATTGTTTGTCAATAAATTGATTAAATATCACTAATCAACAATATCTATTCCATTTCCTATTACTGATTCGTCTTTACCCTAAAGGGAATGAACTTCGCGAATGCGGTAACATAATAGAAGGTTCATTTTCCTAATTGTTTATTTAAATTTTACAAATACTGCTCATGTTACCAATGTAAAAGTCTGTAAAGATGTTTAAATTGTTAGACGTTTGTTACTCAAACACATTACGCGTAAATCCCTAAATAGATTTGATTGAAATTTGGTATACAGATGAACCAGATCGTAAATAATTTTTTATACTAATTTACTCGGGCAATGTTACAGCTTGTAACTTATATAAAATATTGTAATATATAAAACTGTGATTAATCACTGTAAAATTTGGTATACAGTTGTTAAAGCGCTATAAGGTATAACTAATAAACAAACTCACTTTCACATTAAGTGAGACTAGTAGCTGCTATGCAACCGAAAATTTACCTTTTTTTTTTATTCCAACATAACTGTCATATATCATTCACTAACATGTTTTTGATTATTATAACATGGTAAAGTAATTATATGGAAAATCTCAAAAAAGTTTGCCTTCGTTTATTTCGTTTCGTTCGTTTTCTTCGTTTATAAGTTTCACTTAGTTTATTAGTACTAATTTAATTTCTAATTCCATATTTGCAACACAAAGCTAAACGTAGTGGACTATCAATGTTATTTTGTTTGACATTGATTTCTGTAATGACGCATAAAGATCTCTATATATTGTCAAATATATTAGCTTTCCTCATTTTATTGTTATCATTTAAAAAAATATTAAGTATATAATTATATCTTTTGCCACAAATTCGCAACTGGGATTGTTTTAATCTTTGCGGACTTATACATTGTATACAGCTGCTTGCTAATGGCCAGTAATTGTATTAATGTATTTTAACGGATATTTCAAATAACTTTCACGCTTATTAGATGTTGCGTGCCCGAAGCCATTACAACTGTTCTCAGATAAAGTACTTTGTTATTTTCAACTTTGTGATTGTTAACTTGAAATGGAACGTTTTATTTTAAAAATGATGTCTTACTTTTCTACAATTGTCGCAATTTAATGTTTATTTGACTTATAAAAAAAAAATATTGCTTTTATTTTACCTGACATTTTTTGTAAAATGTCAACTGATTTTAATTACAAGGAAAAATTAAGATCAATATCAAACTCTAATATTTGGACGAACAATATCCAAATTGTATTTTAGGCAAATTAAGTAACCCACCAGGGAGAGACTTTGTACAAAAGTCGATTGCTTGGGTACCTCTGTCCCATCCGTGTTTCTACCGTGAAGCAGTTGTGTTTGCATGGCTGTGTTTCGGTTTGAAGGGTGGGAAATGGCGTGAATTTACAGGGTACAGAGGAATAACACCTGAGTCCTCAGGAATGGCAACGCATGGGGGGTATCATGAGCGAAACAGTATACTCTGTTATGTCCTTGGTACTGCTCCTGTCTAAGGCGACGGTTACCACTTTCCATCAGGTGAGCCGTCAGCTTGTTTGCCATTCTAAGTTGTATTAAAAAAAAAACCAATGTTCATTATTTTTTGAGTATATTACACAAAGGCAGTAAAAAAAGCTGAAATGATGATGTGGATTTCAATAGATATTCTGATAAATTTCGATTTTATATAGTAATGCATATAAATTTTAAGATGCCGTAAATAGCACGCGGACTTGATGTTTGCTCTGTACGTGTGCTGTGGGCGGAGGCTGACGTTAATTGCACCACCCATCTGGTTTATTTTTGAAAACACTTTTTATACAGCATCAAATTTTTCTGTTGCATTCGAATGGAAACAAAGAACGCAAGCCTCGTTATAAATTGCATATTCTGTTTCATCATGATCAAAAAACGAACTTCCTATATGAAAAATTTACAAGGATATTGGCTTATTATCATACTGGCCACTTAGTGTAAAGTTAGCATAGAGTTTTAATTTTTGTATCGTTTACTCTTTATTCCCCTAGTCGTCGTTAACAACATCTTTGAATTAAAAATGAGTAATGAGTTTAACTTTATTCATTTCTTTAGCATACAAAAAACTTCTGTGGGAACTTCTAATGATTTAAAATATTTAAAGCTTTCGATTCCAGACCCTCCAAAGTGCAGCCTTTGACACAATTCTACGGTATCTGCTTACGCTTGCGATTCATTGATTTCAAAATACAGTTAAAATTCGACAGTTAATACTCTTAAACGTCTGTATAAGATTCTCTCGGTTACAGTTGACGACTTTGCGCCAAAAAAAAAAATAATCTACTTAGGTACTTATTCAACTTGTTTTTAAACTTTTTCAGAACATAGTTTTATTTTATTGTTTTGAGCATTATACAAAATGATATCATATCTATTAAATATAATTCAAAAATAATATATTTATTGGAAAACTTATACATTGCACATTATTTCTTTAAAATAACTACTCGTACAAGTGGAGTCAATCTTTCTTTTTATTAAATCTAAAATCTTTTTAAAAATCTAAATATTAAATTTGAAAAAGAATGTTTAAATATTTTCTTGAGAAGTATTCATGGCAATGTTTTAATATGTAAAATAACTGTCCTATGCAATATTTTTTAAAGTTAACGTTGTATCATTAAATAATCCTATTAGCAATTTTAAATATTAGTGAAAGCGCGAGCATCCGTTCAAATATTTAATTAATTATTATTTGTGTTGGAACGACACTCACAAATTGATAAAAACACGAGTGTGTTAGAAAGCAGCATTAGGTTACCTAAATATAGTGCATTATTTATATTTTTTCGCAAATCACATGCACGCTATGTTTAACATGTTGATTGATACGTAGCATATGTTAAACATAAGGTAAAAAAATCTTTTACCTTGTGTTCAGTTTACGCTGCCCAGAACAGGTACATAGGATCATAAATTCTCCAGTAAATGTTCGACTTAATGTGTTATTTACTTACATATATACGACGTTATTTTATTCCAAAGCAAAGGTCAAAATAAAAATACTCTTTCAAGAACAATGCAAGTCATGTGCAGGAGTATTAATTTTCTCGTATAGATTGAGGTAACGGCTTGATATCCCGCTAGTGACCGGTACCTTGTTTACATTGGCTTTGATCACATCAAACGTTATTTATATATATATAATGTCGACGGGTTTTAAACACATTAAAGCGTACAAAGCAAAAACCGTTTTTCATAATTTCATATCACGGGAAGGACGTATAAATGGATGTATAATCCTTCTCGTGTTTTAAATTATTAGTGTTGCAAATTACCAAGGCAAATTATAAAATCGTCTACGATTAAAGTTCAGTTAGATTTCTAAATCAAAGTATATATCGGAATTACTGGCTCAGTGATTTCACGAATTTGTGGCGCACTACACGTGCGCTGATTCCTCGGATAGTCTTGAATTGAAATCGTCGAATCTGTTCTTACACGCTCTGTCGCGAATCCCATTACTAATATTGTATTACACGACAAATAACGTTGTTGAAATTATGACTTAATACATTATAATTTTAGCTTTATGGCGGCGGTGATGTCAGCCAATTTTTTGCAAACCGTAAACATTGAAGATAGTGTCTGTCAAACGTTGAGCAGAAATTAAACAATAGTCGGGGAGTTAATTTATGCGGCGTATTATGCTCTAAGGCATACCTTGAGATCTCATAGTTACGAATCTTGATCAATACAACTGTCACTATTTCCGAAAACACTTATGTTAATGCAATATGATAGCCATGTGAGTCACACAAGTGTAACCTGTCAGAGAAAGTTCGCGCGTTTTGACCGAGAGAAGGTGACCGTCCCCGCTGAATACGACCGGCTGCATCGCAGTGAAACTTTTTAATGTGGCATAATAGTAAAAGTTGATTGTTCTCAGCGATCATTAGTTAGTAGCTGTGCTTTAGCGCATACAGAGCTTCGCGAGTGTTCGCTTACAGTGTTGGCAAAATGTTCTTGACCTCATAGTGTTAGTGGATTGCACGAGGATGTTGGCATCGGTGGTGTCGATCGCTAACCCCGGCGGTCACTCTTTGTCGGCCATGTTCAGAAGGAATAGGAATCGGTCGCCTCCATCATCTGTCACGGTAAGTAATATGTTCAGTCAAGACTAGTTGATCGAATTCTCGTCCCATTTTTGTTTACTATAAACGTGCTAAAAGATACCACAAACATTCTTTAGTTGCCCCGCTTTATTCACAAACAATATTATGTCATATTCTTCCTACATGTCTCTATGTCCTCGTGTTTTCTGCTATTTTTTTAGTCTAAATCCTTTTTAATGTATTTGCAGGGTTTTACCTTACCTTGTTTTATATTGTAATTTTTGCTATTATTCTGATATCTCATCGTCTCTAACAAAATAGTTCCTTAATATCCTATTAATATTATAAATGCGACAGTTGATAACAGTTAATAGATTGACGCAAAAACTACTGAACGGATATGAATGAAATTGTCCAAATATTAACGGGTAGAGAATGCTGCTTAATGCTAGTCCGTCTTTTGTACCATATTTTCTTTTGGTTAATATTTAAATAAATAAATACATACATTTGGAACACGGATAGGGCATATCCTAACCTAGTACATAGAATATTTTATGTACAGAATAACGCGAGTGAAGCCGCGGAATAGTTAAAAGATAAAAGCAACATTGTATGCTTGACTTGTGCTCGGCCCTTTTGATGGGAAGTCATAATCGTCGATTATGTATCGTATATATATATATATGAACAGCACCATGGAGGAGAATAGAATAGACTCCGACGCCCAATGTACCTATCGTATATTCATTCCTGAGGCCTAAGATACAGAGTACGTTGACATAACACCGTATTCTATAAATTCAATGTCATATCCGGTTCTTCAAACGGAAATATTTCCATGCCAGCACAGCTGCTTTGCGGTAAAAACACGAGTCGACCTAAAGTATCGATGAAGACGACTGATAAATGTTCCAGAAATTTCGAATTCGAAATATTCTCACTTTTAAGTGCGACGTAATGGCAAATGTGTACTTTGTAATGTTTACCAAATATTTCGAAGACATTTTGTTTACATTTTTAAGTGACTTTCAAAGGAGGATTCGCCTATATTTTTGTATGTTATACAATATTTATTAGTTGATAAGGTATGTGTTGGTTTCCTATTTATTTTTATGAAAGCAGCTGTTTCTCTCTGCGAACCAAAATCAACTAGTTCATTTGACACGCGAATCGACGTTCTTAATTCAAATATTTCAAATCTTATGTGTTTATATAATATCCCGACGTCCTCGTCGATCACTCGACTCGATTGCTGGTATTAGTTGTGAAATACAGGCTGTTTATATTATTTATAGTTTTTATATTAATATCTACCAAATTTAAAATTAACACCGCTTTCTTTTGTTCCCTTTCAGCTCTCCTTGATTGCTTTTCTTATTTTTTATATTTAGTTACATATGAAGGAAATGTAATTATTATCCCATATTTTTGGTTTCCTTCGTCGTCACACTTTTTCTTTAAATGTGACAAAATTTGTCACGTTTAAAGAAAAAGAATTGTTTTCTTTTACGCTAAAAAATGTATCAACTCCTGTTCTCTTGTATTATATATTACATGTCAAGGGATAAAGTGTGCAGTGAGATTTGCGAATGGTGTATGCCGTTTTTAATATTACTTCCTATTATGTAGCGGCCGCAGAATGCTTTTACCTGTTTTGCTGTCTGTCAAAAACTAAGTATATTTTCAAGAAACTTTCATATTGAATTCTTGTTTCTTCTTTCTCTTTATAATATTGGTATAGACAAGCTTTTAACAGCGTATCTATCCATGTTATTGGGATATATTCATGACTGGTATAAAAGTATTATTATGCCCTTCTCCATTCCATATAGTACTTATGTGTATTCCAAATTTTATAGTGACACTAATTAAGCGGTTAGGTGTTAAGAGGTAACAAAGACACAGACTTATTTTCACATTTATAATATGAGTAAGGATAAAAGTAACGTATACATAATATACAAATATGCTTGATCTAAATTCTAAATGAACAAAGTTATTAATTAAAGTGGAACGTGATCGACATTAAAATGTAAATTTCTATTCCACTAGACGCCCCTGTGAGCGTAATGTATAGATTGATCAGTCGAGATTCGAGATTATGGAGATATGGAGGTACCTACTAAAATTTGTTGACATAATTCTTTATCATTCATTTCTTGACATATTTGACTTCATTTTACTATATATGATTGCTTTACGCTTCAACATATCTGATGGCAAGGAATTAGACCGGCTCTCTGCCAGCACCGGTCCACGTAGTAGCCACGGACCTCCCATTACAAATAGTAAGTGCCGGAACCTAGAAATAACAAAATTATTATGTAATTTTTTTTCCAACTTTAAATGGTAAACGCTGATGGCCTATTTGTTGGAAAATGATTCGTCATCATCATCATATCATCATTTAACGGTCCGCTTTTGAACATAATCCTCCCCTTGGGGGGGGGGGGGTTTGCCAGTAGTTGCCCCGCTTGGCAGACGGATGGGCAATCGCAGTTAGGCTTTGGTGAAGTTTTAAGAATTGGTCCCCCCTAGAACTGACTTGACTTTTCATACTCACTTATCATCCTTCACGCCAGCATATATCGCTAACACAGCCAGGGTTACCATTCCATTAAAAAAACTTTATTCATAAAAACCTCTCATTCTCATAACCCTATTTTAGCTATCGAAGTGTTTTGTCTTTTTCCGTTACGCTAATTTTCAATTTGAAAGAAAGTGATAAAACACTTCAATAGCTAAGGTAGGTTTCAGTTTTAATTAATAAGAGAGTTTTATGGATAATCAAAAATAGATTAATTCAATGTTTCAATTTGTTATTACTCGTAATTTCATTTAGAGTGTTTCTGTGATAATTAAAAAAAAACATCTTTTCATTAATTTCTGTTGAAACAGGCTATATGCATTATGCAAACGACGAATTTTTCAATGGATGATAATGGAATGGTAACCCCATCTGCTTTAACGGTATACGCTGGCGGGGCACCAGTGAGGGATGGTAAGTGAGAATGAAAAGGTATTGGTTTCCAGGGGGGGCATGTGGTGGTCGACCTGACAGGATATATTGTTAGAAATGAGACTGGCAGTGCGCAATACTAACAATCCCCCCCCCCCCCGTTCCTCTAAACGACGTTGTTTGGAGGAGTTTGGTTATTTTAGCAGAATAATGAGTGGAGTAGATTGAATGAAAGCCGTTCATTCCTGATCATACTTATATATATATATATATATATATATATATACTGATAGAGCTCAGCATGATCCCTAATCCGTATAACGGTGGTAAGCAACCGCTGCGCCGTGCCGTTCTTATTTACATATACAACGGAACAATTCGCCATATTGTACCAACATGTTTTCATGATATTACGAACTATAGGGTTGCCATAAATAACGGTATATTTTAAAGCCACGTCCAAAAAACGCACATCTAATTTTTTTTTTGTGTTTACATAGTTTGACATTTATTAGGTCCACCAATTCTTAACTGATTTGGATAGTTTAATCTGCAAATTTTACTGAAGTTGGTATTTTTTTTTGATGGGTGATGGGTAACGGGATACGCTGGCGGAGCACCAGTGAAGGGTGATAGATGAGAATGAAAACAGGCCAGTTAGCCCATCATGATGAATTCATCAGGATTTAACCATGATAGTCTCCAGGGGGAACCGCGAGGATGTCGATCTGGTTGGGTATATTGCTAGAAATGGGATTCTCAGTCTCCATTCACACAATCCCTTCCCCCCTGAAGTTGGTATTATATCTAGGTCGGAAGTCCATATCACTGGTTATTTGTTTAGAATAATTTTGTTAAATTCCGCTATCATGGTATGATATGGGAGTGGCATTAAACAAAACAATTGTAATCAAAATAATCAACTGTAGACTTCACTCACATACTAACTTTATGACAATTGCGACTGTCGTTTTTCTATTCGAAGCAAAAATTCTTCTTTTCGCGAAGTATAATTTATTATTCGTAATCTAAAAACACGATGTCGCATTCTAAACTTAAACGGTCTTATTCCAAAACATATTTTAAAACACTGTTTATTTAAATAATGTTTAACATAATGCTTTATAAGTGGTTAAAAATGTTTAGTCAGTGTAATAATGTTTATTTATAGTTTTATGCGTCTAAATTTATATATCATTAACTTTTTGCCCGCTTCATCATACGTGTGGATTTCAGAAGTAGGAAAACGAATGTTTTATTCCTCTTCTAGAAGACGTATCAAGATAAAATATTAGTTTTTTAGTTAGATATTCAGCAGTACAACTGTGAAAATCGCATCCAATTTGGTACAGTACCTTTTACGTGAAGCAGGAACGAACATACTGATAGACGGACAAAACATCTAAAAAATAGTGTTTTAGCATCTATTGCTCTTAAGCCTCCTTATTTTATTATTATTATTATTTTTAATATTACCCATCTATAGATATAGTCTAGTTATAATTTTATGTTATTAGCAATATTATAACAAAATTTATTATTTTGAACACCTTTTATTTTTAATAATAAATACTAGACTATTGTTAAAACATAAATAGCTTTAACACATATTTTTCTGCATATTTTCATGTGTTTTCTGCACGGTTTTTTCCGTGTAAATATTGGATATTATTTTCGTACAGTTTTCGCATTACATTTTTCTTCATAGAGTTTTCTTTCATATTATATGTTAAAGAATTTCAATTATGAGTATTCCTTATTTGGATAAATCCAGTCTTTACTGCTAAAATAATTTTCTTTCTTTATCATACCATACCAGTTAGCCGCTGCAACGACTTCATTAACTGTCTATTGCTGCACATAGGCATCCCCCATAAGACCGGGTTTGCCAGTTGTTGCCACGCTTGGCAGGTGATTGGGTAAACGCAGTTAGCCTTCGATTATGTTTTAAGAAGGTGGTTGCTGTCGTTCCCTCGACCATTAAATTCCGTTAGTTGCTTCCTACGACACCCATGGGATAAAAAAAGTGGCCCATTCTATGCCAAGACCACACAGCGTACCATAACGAAGCTAAAATATTTATGTAAATAGTGATCGAGTAACTTGCAACTTATAATATTGAGAGGGAAAATGGTAGTAAAATTATAAGGTACGGAGATATAAATGAATACCTTTCCTGCACTAGATTACCCGCTAATTATTTTCTCTCTCACTGCATTGAGTTAGTTGGAAGAGATCTCTTTTAGAGATAAGCCCACCCTTTCTAACAAGTTGTTAAACTAATCACTGTGTGTCTTTTTTTTTCAAGTACAATATAGAATATATATATATATATATATATATATATATATATATATATATATATATATATATATATATATATATATATATATATATATATATATATATATATATATATATATATATATATATGAATAATATGTTGTAGTTCTCAGGATAGGTAACGTACGAGTGGTACTATGTGCATTACAGTGCATACTGTCGTTCACGTCTGTATAGGCAATAATTACCAATTTCCATCTGGTGGGTCGTAAGCTTTTTTATTGTTGTGTGTTGCATAAAAATCTACAGAAATAAAAACTGTAAAGATATATTAAAAACTTCCTTCACGCCCCCTACTTCATACATGTGGGTTTTAGAAAATAAAAACCAACGAAATATGGATGGCATATCGTAATAAAACCTATACCAGATTTTAAGGTAGACACATGCAGGAATACAGCTGCGGAAACCGTATCCATTTTGATGCACTAGTTTTTGCATAATGGCAGAATAAACATCATCAAATCTTATCGGCTTTTAACTGTCCACTGCTGAACATAATCCTCCCCCTAGGGGGTTTTACCAGTAATCGCCACACTTGACAGGTGGATTGGCAACCGTAGTTAGGCTTTGGATATGTTTTAAGAGGGACGCTGTTGCCCATCCTCCCTTAGTCGTCTCTTACCACATCCACGGGAATGGAAGGGGTGGCCTATCCTATGTCTGTGGACACCACGGAAACAAATATAATATTTATTAATACAATAACAATATGTATTTATATGTTAGGTATTACGCATCGAATAGTTAAGTATGTTTCTGTTTTCTTAAAGGTTAATTGGCAGACAATGCTATATAGCTTTATGTTCGTATTTTTTATCAGTAAGTTCTTTGGAAAATGTGGTCAATAAAGAATAAATAAATATAGATATAAGTTCTAGAAAAATCCCATTGTGTGTAGCATTAGTTCAAGAGCATACTTCGTCAATTTCCTATATTTGGCATAACGTTACACAATAATAGCACCGTTTGTACGAACATATGTGGCTTCACGGTAATACGAGGTTTGTCCGGAAAGTACGTATAAAAGTTTTTTAAAAATTTTATTTTACAATTATTCAGGTAAATCAATTTTATCCCCTTCAAAGTACTCCCCCTGTGACATAATGCACTTGTGCCAACGCCGTTTCCACTGTGAGAAGGCTCCTTGAAAGTCCTCTGGTTGTAGGTTTCTCAGCTGCCCCGTCGTAGCTTTTTTTATTTCATTTATGTCCCCCAAATGCCGCCCCCGAAGTACCAATTTGGTTTTTGGGAACAAGAAGAAGTCACACGGGGCCAAATCCGGCGAATAGGGGGGTGTTCGGTCACCGTAATGGAATTTTTACTCAAAAACTCACGGACAACAAGAGAGGTGTGGGCAGGGGCATTGTCGTGGTGAAGAATCCAACGCCCCTCTCGCGCCAATTCTGGACGAACTCGTGCCACACGAGCTTTGAGGCGTCTGAGCACATCGACGTAGAATTTTCCATCAACTGTCTGGCCTGGAGGGACGAATTCTTGATGGACAATCCCCCGAACATCGAAAAAAACAATCAACATTGTCTTGACATTTGAGCGGGATTTTCTTGATTTTTTTGTTCGTGGTTCCCCGGATGTCTTCCACTCTTTGCTTTGGGATTTTAAACTGTTCTGAGATCGGCAAAAATTTCACGGCCATTCTTGCCGAGTTTCGAGAGAAACTTGATTACGACGCGCTGCTCTTCAACGGAAGCGGGCTCCATGCCGACGGGGTTTCGTTAAGAGGTAACTTCACAGATGGCGTGACAAGCCAGTTCGCACCGCACGGCGGTCAGACCAGAACTGAAGCATTGTTAGGGACATAAGGAAGGGGTCCTGCGCTTACCTGGCCTCCCCACTCCTCTTTCTCGCATTCCAGAACACTTTTATACGAACTTTCCGGACAGACCTCGTATTGAAAACGACCTTCACGAATTCGTAACGGTAGTCAAGTTTCCACAACTTGTTTATATGAATGGACAGTATGCAAAGTATTCATAATATCTCCGAAAATATTCCACTAAATATACCCAATGTGTAAGTTTTGAATTGATGTTTCTTAGCGAAATATTTGTCGGCGAAGTTATAGTCAAACAATTTTTGGGGGAGTTCACGTTGGCTCGGGAAACGGAAACGTGCAGAAAATTTTAAGGGAATTCTTTTGATGTAAGGACTTTAAAGGAATGAGATAAGAATAATGAAACCGATTAATGATCTACTTCTGATAATTATTAGCATGTTTTTTTAATGGATGATAATGGAATGGTAATCCCGCCTGCACTAACCGTATACGTTTGCAGGACACCAATGAGGAATGATAGGTGAGATGGAAAAGTAGATCGGTTAGCCGGTCGTGATGAATATACTAGGTATTCAGCACGATGGTTTCCAGGGGGACCACCTTGAGGTGTACCTGACAGGGTATATTGCTAGCAATGGGACTGGTAGTCCACATTACTAACAATCCCTTCCCCTCAATTATTTTTAGGTATGTTGTCAAATTGTATTATAATAATTGGAGGTATGTATCTTATTGCATAATAAGTACATTTTGCTCCTCAAAAAAGTGGCTTCAGTCTCAAATTCACACTGCGTTTGTAATTGAATTAAATGAATTCGTAAAAGTGAGTTTGTTTGTTACTTCTTAGCTTCGTAACGTCTTAACCGATGGCTTCGAAATTTGGTATACCCTTACTATACGGGATATCCGCGTGAATCCATCTCGTATAGTACGTGAATATCGAGTTTCGTATTGATTGGTTAACCACCATTAAGGCGTCAAGAGTTAAAAGACAAACAAACTCATTTTTATAGGTATACTAATATTATAAAGAGGTAAGATTTGATTGTTTATTTGTAATGGATAAACTCAAAAACTACTCGACTGATTTTAAAAAAAATTTCATCTATAGTAAGCTACATTATCAGTGAATAGGTGATTGTATTTTATTAAAAAAAAACTGTGAAGCCAGGGCGCGCTGCAATTTTATAATTTTAGTAAAGCTTCTATCGTATTCCGAACCTCATAAAACGAAAGAAATTTATAATATTGGGAATTTAATAATCCAATGCTAGCAATCTCTAATTAGATCGACATCCACGTGGTTCCTCCTGGAAACCATCTGTTAATTCTTGTGGAATTTATCACGATGGGCTAACTGGCCAGCTTTGATCGTCACCTATCATTCTTCACTGGTGTCCAGACAGCGTATACCGATAGCATAGGCGGGGTTCATATTCTATTACCATCCATAAAAACACCCTCATAAAACCGAATTTAACGGCTTCTATCGATTACTGTAAACATCCTTGACATTGACGCTGAAAGTAAATAGGAATCAAACTCGTGAATTATAGAACTATATCGAGTTGTTGAGAATTGGCTGCTATGTTGTTGGGAAATTAGCTAAGCGGTATTTATATATTTACTAGCTTTTACCCGCGACTTTGCGTGTCCGGGATATGATGATTTACTAGAATAAATGCTGATTTTAATAATGATTGCTTTATCTGTTAAGACGCCAAGAGGTAATAATATCAAACGTAAAACAAACTCAACTGAGTTTGTTTGAATTGAATTTAAGGCCTATAGGCCTCAAATATAAAATCAAAGGCAGCTAAACGCCATAAAATCGATTTAATTTTTATTCTGTACTCAAATATTTCTCTTAATTAAAAGTTCTATTAATTAATTTTCAAATGGAAAAAACTTTTCGCAAATTTTCGTTATAATCTAATATCTATAATAAAATGGAATATATAAAAGCATTTAAAATTAACATACAATTCTACACAATACATAATTAATTCAGTACAATAAAGATTTTACAATAACACCTAAACATATTATTATTAATAAATGTGAATTATGAGCTTATTTACTTACATAATATATATATATATATATATATATATATATATATATATATATATATATATATATATATATACAATATATAAAACTAATTTTAAATTATTTTAATTTCAAATTATTACTAATATTCTAATTATCATCAATCTGGTTTAAAATATAGAATATCGTTCCATATCCTTGACAAAATATTAGTTTTTTGTAGTTTCCTGAAAGCTGTCTTTGATTTTATAGGCCTCATTTACAATACTAACTTTTACCCGCAACTTCGTCTGCGTGGATACCGGAATAAAAAGTAGCCAATGTCTTTCTCCAGCCTTTATAGTATGTGTATAATTTTATGACGAGTGGTCGAGCCGGTAACGCGCCAAGAGCGAACAAACAAACTTACTTTACATTTATAATATTACGAATAGTAAGCGTGTAGGTGTGTCAAGGTGTTTATATCTATGTATGTATTAAAAACTAAGTGGCAGGTGTGTATATTTTGTACCTATACAAGGTTTTTTTATGGGTGAAAGTGGAGTGGTCACCCCGCTCTATTACCCTATCAGGTCGACCTCTATGCGATTCCTTTGAAAACCTGGTGACTTGTGGTGGTGGAATGGTTTTCAAATTATCGTGATGAATTTCTGATGAATTGGTCATGATATGCCAACTAATCTATCTTTGTTCACAGTTATCATTAAGGATGGGTTACCGTTCCTTTTTTCTATGTTCATTTAATTCACTTATTTCATTATAATGTCAAAATTAGACAATTTTATAATCTCTATTACATTTTTAAAAGACAGTTTTCTCAATACTCATTTTGACACTCGGTTGAGTGTCAAAATGAGTATTGAGACTTTTTTTTACGTTTATTACCTCATAACTCCGTTACTCCGTAAACAATCTTGGAAATTTCTTTTTTTTTATCTGAAAGGATAAACTTACAGATTGGTCTATCAGAAATTTTATCAAAATCGGTTCATTAGTTTAGTTTTGAAATAAAAATACTTTTACTACTGTTGAAGTCGATTTTTTTTTGTGGAACACAATCTTTTAATTATTTATTGACAGAAGAATATCTAATTTATTCTATCTATATTATCGACTATTGATACAATAGTCAAGGCTTCACCATAACAGAAACAATTAAGTATGTACAATTTTAACTCTGTCGTAATGATATACAATGGAAACAGTTGTTTAAATAATTGCCGTAAAATAGGCACACAAAAAATTTAAATATTAATAATCTTAATTTAAATTAGGACAAACGTTGTGTACGACAATAGATAAACCTGACTATACCTACTTATGAGTTTTCGATACGCTATTAATATTGTATTTGATACGTAGCAAGCGAAATATATTGTAGTTAGGCTCTTACACGTAAAAGCTATTCAAATGCGCATATTTTATCCAAGAATAATATTAGAGTTGGTCGCAATCGAATATTAATTAGATTAAAATTCGTGGAGACTAATATATTAATAATACCGCAGTGTAAGGAGCACCCAATAGTCCAAAGTCTTTTGCATATCTCAAACGATTACATGACAATTCGGGACGTGTTACTTTGTCTAGACATTTACATGTAAGACTACTTGTAAACAGTTCTTTAGACTGTGGTAATAGTGTTAGGAATGTAGAAAAATCAATAACAAAACCGAACTGTACTTTTCATTAAAACCTTATTGAAATGTATGTTTTTTACCCACAGAGTCGCCCAGAGAAGCCTCTGTCCTCATTGGCGACAGGCCCTCCTCCTCCCGCGGCTATTTTACCGCGATCAGCAGAAGGCCCCAAACCTCCAGGCTGGAACGGCCAACCCAGGAGGCATGGTTCCAGCAGATTCAACGTGCAACATCACAATCAGGAGCTTGTCAAATTGCCCACCATCAAAGGTAATAACCAAATGAATATAGCCATCGGTGCATTTGTTTTTCAAATCATACATGCAAAACCTATCAGGAGAGTAAAAATAACGAGTTTTGCAGTGGGCCAAACTTAAAGCAAATTCATTTCCAGAATATTAGATGTAATTCCCCTAAGCACAGGGCAAGAGAAGGATATCTTGAAGTAAAACCTTACTCTAGACTGCATGACTACCTTTAGTTTAAGTTACCAGGCTACTTTATTGAAATTCATTTCAACCGTTTCAGAGACTTAGTTGCGTAATTGTAACATATGAACAGATGGTATAATTAATGTATTTTTAATGTATATTATGTTTAAATAACTTTTTACTCATTTCTTTGATACATTTTCTTTGTTGTCAAATATTTTTGTTTTTATCAGACGCCCATATTATATTCTGCTAAATCTTCATTCAACACTTTGTACAACAAACCTACTTAGTTTCAGTATTTTTTATTACATCGTAACAATTTAAGGTAATTCTGTAAACGGTTTCAACTCGGGCACGACCTATTTTAAGAACCATTCCGCTGAGTTGCTAATATCTCGCCGTTGACAACAATTTGAACATTATGTTATCTACGTCGCTTCTTTGCAGCTTTTATTTTCCTATGCGCGGTGGCAACCCTTCTGTTTGCTTGGGCTTTATTGTCGTGACAGGCGCGGTTTTAACGAGTCTTTGTTAAGGGTCTTGTGGGAAATTTATTTGAATTTAAATGAGACTAACTATATATTTTCTATATGCAGTAGCATTGTCAATCAATCGGCATGTCATTACAATTTCACCGAAACGTGATGTAGTGTATTTGCCTTTAAATTAGTATAGATGTTTCTCCCACAAACGCTCAGAGAATGAGTTCTTATTTTCCCAAGAGACTGCATGGGGTTCTTCAAAAGGGGGATAAAGAGGTTTCTTCAGTGTTGGCAACGCGCGCGTAATACCCCTAATATTGCAGGTGTTCATAGGCTATGTTAACCACTTACCATCAGGTGGGCCGTATGCTGGATTGCCACCTCAATGGTATAAAAAAAGATAATTGAATACCATTTATGCATCGGTGAAATAACTATTTATTCCTCATCCATATCCGATGAGATCAATATAATATAAACTTTCGTTGTTTATTTATTTTACGAATTTAATTCTAAAAAATACTTAGCTTCGCTAACTTATTAAGTAGAACTAACATCTTTTTTAACCAGTCGGGTTACACTTTGTTGTTTCAGACAAACAAATCTCCAAAAACTTGTGCAACAAATTGTTGGAGTATAATTTTTCACACATTAAGATCTAACACTTAATGCTAAATGATGTCGTGCTAATGGCTGCCATTTGATCATGGCATTGCGATACATAATTGATGAGAGTCCACTTCAAGGCGAGTCCTTGCGTCTTTATGCACAAATAGACGATCTTGATACAGTGATTTAATTATATGGCTGACAAGAATTTACATAAATGTGTAATGTTCTGTTAAAAAGATTTACAATTTAACTTAATCTAGTAGATTTAATATTATTGTAGTAACTCAACTATAATCGAAATGATTATTAATTTTAAATCATTACTAGTAGGTAGGGCATTATTTTTAATTCGTTTCTAGTAAGTAATTTGGAAGTAAAAAATTGCATTTTTAATAGTATTAGGTGGCTTTATCTGCATTAATTGGATGATTAATTAAGAATTATTCTACATATTAATAGAAAGTAATGGTTTACCAAATTCCAGCCACATCCCTCCAACCAAAAATGCGTTATTGAGTAACAAAAATTTAAAATCTTTATAAATTTTCGTTACAGATAGTAAGTTTACATCTTACATTTCTTTTATATTTGAATACAACTGTATGACATTATGACCATAAATCAGTATCGTCATCATTTTAGTCGTTATCTGTCCACTATTGAACATAGACCTTCCCCATTGGCTGTCATAAAGAGCGGTGCTGAGCTACCTGCAGCCACTGCTCACTGCGATCCATTTGAGATCGTCATTCCATCTAGTGCGGAGTCGCCACCTAAGAACCTTTATTCCTTATCAGTCATCGGTTCTTCGAGCTATGTGATCAGCCCATTGTCGCTTCAGTTTACTTATTCTTTGAGCTATGTTGGTAAATATGTCCATAAATAGCACAACCAAATTATTAGATCTTATATTCTAGATAACTATATTCGCTAGAAATAATAATATTTCATAAATTTCGTTCGTTTTAAACCAATTTTCAATATGCATATTTAATTATTTAACTAAGAGAGCCTGACCTGGTTTACTACCAAGTCCAAGTGTTGTGTTGTGACTTTGAATCTGGTCGATGTTAAAACTTTGAGACCATTTAAATTTCTGATTAACTCTTTACTGTTGTTGAATATGAAAACCTAATTTATCTGCGAAACAGCTGCATTCCCTTCCCTTCGATTGGATTTGAATATTCTCAGCAGAATGTTGCCAAGTATCATCATTACCACAAAACCATTGTGTTTCTGACCATTCTATTTGAAATTGCAAATACTTTCAGTATAAGATATTTACGAAACATCTCGTATCTCGTTCATTGGTTTGTGTGTGTTTGTGTATTCATAATTGAAGTTGCTTTTTTTGTTCATAAATATATATACGAGTATGTAACAGTATCAATCGTTTGTTTATAAAATGCGACCATAAAATCATAATGAAAAAGTTACATGATGAAATGACATTTACGCGATTGTAAGTTCCTTTCTTTTATAGCAGATTGCTCATTTTGCGCGTCCTTGAAATCAAGTAGAGCATATAGTGGTATATGTATCCGGGCTCCACTAAGCTTTTTGCTACGTCGCTTTGTACTAGGTTCCGTTTCCGTCGCCTGTTTGTGGTGTGGCGTTTTATCTTTTCTAATATTTTATACTGTGGATTGTAAACTACTTTATCAAACCTTTACGGTATAAGGCGATGTTTTTGCCTTTAAAGAAATATACTTCTTGAAAATCTCTGTTGATTTCAATACTCTCTGTATTTAGTTATTAGACAATGGTTTTAGTAAAGTAACTTCGACTTAGTCTCAGAAATTCTAACACCGATTCACATCAAAATTTAGAATTTTTAAATTCATGTTTAATTTGACAGATTTGTCACTTCTATTTGTATTCTTCTAACCCATGTAAAGTAATCGATATGTAGACCAAGTCGGAGGCTTTCGTGTACGACAAAGGCAACCCTTGTTATCAGGGGTGCATACGATATAGGTAATATACTAATAATAGAACCTACTTCCTATTTTCCTACTGCAACTCTATAGAATGTTGCAATTCTATTATGAGTTATTTTTACATTTATACAGGTATAAGACGTATCTACGTATACAAAGTATGAATTGTATGCGCTATGAAGTTTATGAGATCGTATCTAAGCCAATTTGTCTAATGATGTATTTTCGATTTTTGTAAATTGATTTATAATGTCTTGTATGGGTAGTTTAGAAATAAACTAATGTGATCACTTATCATCTCCGCCCTATGTTTATGACTTATCTCCAATCGACAATACTAATTACATGCCCAATCAAAGCTCCAAACGGCCGACATAATCTCGCCTTACTTAAAGAGCGAGTTCCTCTTTTTAATAGTTTATTATCACGCCTTATAATTTACATTTAAAATTTAATTTATATGTCAAAACAATTAAACTATTATTTAATATCTAGTTAAACGGTGACGTACGGCGTAAAGATAAAATGAAAATTTATGACCAATTTATTACTTTATTTTAAAATTATGGTATATACGTGTTACTTTTGGTTTTATTCTTTTTTTTTAAAGTTCCGTACTGCGTTGTAAAGTTGAAAGTAATAGTTAATTATTAATTAACAAGTTGAAATTAATATCTTATACTCAGGTCTGCAATCTCTTAAAGCAGAGAAAAATCATGCTTCTAAATGATTGCGTAATCAAAAGATACGGCCGTTTATGTTCCAATTTTATTGCATTTTTTGATATTCGCAAATTGAATCAAAAGCTATAGGGCACTTCCCGTTGACCTAGAATCATGAAATTTGGCAAGAAGCAAAGACATAGCACAAGTAAAGGAAAAAATCCGAATATCGTAAATTTGTAGTTATTTTACAAAAAAAAATTACTTGATGATTTTATACGGAGCCCTCATGCGTGAGTCTGACTCGCACTTGACTGGCTTTTTTTGTTTTTATTCCACTACTCCTTTAAAAAGTAATGTAAAAAAATGTTTGCAGTGATTAGTTATTTCGGTTATCGTGTTATACGGTTCTATATTTTCCCTTTCATTAGCATTTTCCTTTTTTTTATCAAATAATGACGAACGGAAACCACCTTAATTACTTCGCTATAATTGATATTTATTGCTATTGTTAGATTTTTTTTTGTAATTAAAAAAAGCTGTTGTTGTTAAACTACATATGAATATAATTGCTGCTGCAACTGCATCTACATTGTGTAATTTTTTACCTTACATAGGCTCAAGAGAACATATTAGAGAACAAATATTATTTGTTTACACGCTTAGTTTTCATAAAAATTAAAATGTTTTCGAGTGCGTCATCTATTTCAATATCCGTGTATGTTAAATATTAGAAACAGATTTGAAAATGGAAACATTTTAAAATCCTATTCGCAGAATTATGCTGATAAATAGTACGCACGTTTGTCTGCACAAGAGCAAATAGAAAAAAAAGAACAAAAATGTTTCCATTAATATTTTTTTATCAGATAATCCAGGAAAGGTAAAGGTGTAAGCAACAACAAAGACAACAAGAACAAGTAAAGTGAAGTGAAAATACGAAAAGTCCCTAATAAATATACAAAGTCAAATCAAGAACAAAGGTGTTTAACCATTGATTCATCAGCATCCTATTTGCATAGCCATTCATTGCATTACATCGCCATTCATCGTACGTTGAGTGAAAGTAACATAAACCAGATAAAACTGATCTAAATCTCGTCAAACAAACAGTGCAGATAAAGTGGAAAGAATTTCAGAAGAATTCAATCCTAGAGTCGTAATTCTCTATTTCCAACCTTCAAGATAAGCAAGCAAACAAACTCCGTTTATGTTTTGCGAACTATTTATAGCAACATTTTTATCTTATATTTATATGTTTTCTAGTGATATGGCTCTGTTTGTTTGGGTGGGTACCACAGATATGAATTCATATATCGTTGAAGATATGGTTATTGCTTGTATTTGCGATACTTGCGTGTAATTTTTTGTTTTGAATTAGGCTCAATAGAGATTAATTTTCTCCAACTAAATTTCAGAGTTCCTATATAAAATGTCTTTTATCTTCATGGCGAAAATATATTGTTCGAAATTCAAATATTTTAAATCTAATACATCTATGAAACATCTCATCGTTTTTTTTTTTTTTGGAGGTATTATACGTTTTAAAATAAGAATAGTGGCATTACTAGTCAATATTAACTTTGTCGAGATGGAAGACGGGTCTTTTTTGCGTAGAGCAATATTTACTTGCTTCTGGTTATAATGTGGAATTTATATTTGCGTTTCCGTGTAGATGTTTAATTTGCTGTAGCTTCGCAGCGGTCACTTGGAGGGTATGTAATTTAATTGTACGCAAAAAAAACATATACTGCCAGTGACTGATGTACTTATAATCACAGTTGCTTTGGGCCATTCGCTGGACACAATCAAATTTAGTTTTGATACTTGCGCGTTTTTGCTCTTCAAAAAAAAAAAAAAAGAAAAAACAAAATAGCAAATTCAATCCTGACAAAAACACCTATGAACAACAACATGACTCTTAGACAAATTGAAAGTATTTGAATTTAGGTTCCGGAATTTACGCGTAGATTTTGCTTCGCATTAACTTTTTTTTTTATCACAAAATTAATATGCAATAAAGAGAGAGAATACCCTGTTAATTACAAAAATAATTACCAAAATTGGCTCAAAACCTCTTGAAAGCCGCGAAAACCTTCAATAGCTGTATATTAGATACTTTAAACATAATCAAACTTTTCAGATACAAATGCATATATTTTGTTTCAAATACCCTAGAGTCTATTTTGTTACTGACAGACTTAAAATTATGTTAGCAAGTATTAAAAGCAGAACAATTATTTACTCACGAAAAAAATCTATAGAAACAAATTGTGTATCGACGTTGCTATCACAATATGCGCTATATACTGTTTATGTAGGCATTTTTACAAATTTTGAAATATATTGCCTAATATTAACTTTCATATTTTTGTTTTGCATGGTTAAAGGCTTATGAGAGACGGAAAATTACACGATCATTTAGGTAAACTACGTTAATTGGAACTAGTTTTGCAGAAAACAACCGTAGCCATATATATAAATATCCCATGAGAGTAATAGATCGCTGCTTTCTGCATAACTAACTCTAATTTAGGCAAAATAAATTTGAATAAATAACCCAGCTGGGTTACCTATCTCGACATTTTGATTAGGTTACATCGTCCTTAATAACTAGTAGGCTGATGTAGTACTATCATGCCTCCGCTCCCGAGAGGGAAGTATTTTTTTTTCTATCCACTCTTTGTCGTACATCACACGTAAACGTGCGTTCGGGAATCCTGAATATAAGGTTAAATATGTAACTTTTATCGGCTATATCCGATGATATAAATAGCCACATCTCTCACTTTCCAGACCAAGTATGTTTCCAGTTGCACTACGAAAATAATTACTTGATAAATCTCTTAACCAACTCGGACGTCGAGACTTTTGATCTGACATAGGTAGGTTTTATAAATTTCCCTGAACCCTTATGATTTTTCCAAGGGACCCTTGTATTCTGCCGCACCTCTTTTATAAATTGCTGATGTACAATAAGCTACTATCAGCGTTTACACCCTCCAGACATTCGTAACCCCCGTTTTACTATAGATGGGTCTGTAATATTGAGAACTGTATCTACTGAATTATTAAAGAAAAGAGTGGTCTTTGTTGTGACCCCAGATGTTCTTTGTATGGTATCTTACGAACATAACATAAAGTTTGAAGACTGAGCATTAGATGTGGCTTTGTGGTTCTTTGTAATTTCTCCCCTTTGGTAACTCTACAGATAAGAGTTACCAAAGCGAAGACATTGTACAAGTCTTCTATATTTTATCCCTCTATTAAATGTTCATGTTATTATCGTAAAACAGCTGTGCATTCATGGCTTTGTTTCGGTTTGAAGAGTGAAATATGGCAGTGATAGGGTATGGGGTGCTGTGGATGTCTAAGTGTATAGATATTTTGTTTGTAGGCGTCCGTTACCACTTTCCACCAATTTACTAGTACCTGTATATACTAATAAGGATATTAAATAAAAACCCCTTTAACATTTTGTAATGTCATACAAACAGGTTTGAAGTTTTATTACTATAAATAAAGGTAGTATACTGTTTACCTAGTAAACAGTATACAGTGTGAGTATATATTATTATTTATAATGCTTTCCATATAATACTCATATAAAATAGTAATTACCGAATTTCTTCATAATTCATATCTCGACTTTATTGCAGTACCCATACTAGACTAGAACGTTAATCCTTACTGACACAGCTGGCCTTGGAAACCACAGTTATTTATGGATTCTTATATTAATCTTCTAAGCTCATAGATTAAGTTTCTCCATGAATTCTCGAGGTTTCCATCCGTCATCTACAGTTAGCCTTTAAGATAATCGCTAACTGTATATCGGTAGTCATAAAGAGCGTTCACGTCGAAAACTGACAGTGGCTACTAGTACATTTGTGAATTTTCAAAAACAATTTTTAATATTTCTAAATTTAGCAAACAAAAAAAAAATAGAGTATGTACATTTATAGCAAATTTTTTTATAGAATAAAAATAGATTTGTAACCATACTTGTTGCGGCTGGCTTGGTACCAATGAGAGATTATAGATTGGTGTAAACTTAATTAGTCCATCATGAGGAATTAATCAACAATTAACCACGATAGATAAGGGGAACCGCTTTGAGGAACGTAGTGGGGCCGTTCGACTTCATTACAATTCTTTTCCTGTCGTATTATAAATGTTATAGTGCTTTATAAATTAATAGAATCTTTTATGTTATCCTGAAGATGAAATAAATGGTGATTGATATATTGTATTAAATCCAGAAATTTAATTAATCACTAGTAATCTGCATTATGTCGTGTGGTCCCAGCATAGAATGGGCCACCCTTTCCTTTCCCGTGGGTATCGTAAGAAGTGACTAAGGGAACTTAATAGTAGTGGAACGGGCGGCAGCATCTCTCCTAAAACGTGGCCAAACTCTAACTGTAGTCCAAAGGTAACCCGCCTGCCAAGCGTGGCACCTACTGACAAAACCCTCCAATAGAGGGAGGCTTATGTTCAGCAGTGGACAGTTAACGGCTGATATGAAGATATAGTGAATCTGCATATTAAGAATACTAAAATTTTTGCTCTTGAAGCAAATATAAATATAATTGATTCATTCATTAAGTTTCAATTTATTAGACTTTAAAATACAGCAAGCTTCCCCACTACACGACAGTTGGGGGGAAAGGGATTGTTAGTGATGGAGACAGAATCCCATTGCTAGCAATATACCCAACCAGGTCGACCTCCTCGCGGTTCCCCCTGGAAACTATCATGGATAATTCCTGATGAATTCATCATGATAGGCTAACTGGCCTATTTTCATTCTCATCTATCACCCTTTACTGGTGCTCCAACAGCGTATTCCGTCAGCGCAGGCGGTGTTACCATTCCATTTTCACCCATAAAAAACTACACGACAGTTGATCTGTCGTGTAGTCTAGTAAATAAAGTCGTACTGTCTAGTAAATAAAAATAAAATCAATGAAATTTACCAGAGGGAGACTTTGAATAAAACCTCTGTCTCATTCGTATTGCTACCGTTAAGCAGTTGTGTTGGCATGACTGTGTTTCGGTTCGAAAGGTGGGATGTGGCAGTGAATTTGCAAGATACAGAGATATAGCACTTTAGTTCTCAGGAATGCAACGCAGTGCGAAACAGTATATTCTGTTAAGTCCATTGTACTGTTTATATCTATAGGCGACGATTATCACTTCCCATCAGGCGGGCCGTCAGCTTGTTTGTCATTCTAAATTGTATAAAAAATGTATTAAGTTAGTTACATTTCATTAAATATTACAAATGTTAATTTCTTATAACAGCCTGATAATATTTCAATGTGTTTGTTAATATTTTTTTCATTCATGTTCATTCATTGGAAACTTTTTTGTTTCCATTCAAAACAAACGAGTGGAAATTCTCATTTGATATTCTGTTATAAACAGTAACACCTAGTCATTATATCGCTGATGCAGCGTTATCCCAGTTGAGCAATTTTAGCTTTGCGTATATTTCATCCATGGCAAATTTAATCCGTTATGCTCTACAGTTGATGGTTTGGACCCAGTCATCGCAATCGCCAACTGTTATTAGGTATTTTATAGCACATTGTAACTGTTCAGTTGTTTGTCTGACCTGTATTTGGGGCAGTTGGAACAATTAGTCTTTTTTTTTTATTAAATATAAAACCCTATTTGCAGTTTAATTTTTATTTCATCATCAATCATTTCATCTTAAATACGGTGCTTTTGCAATTTTTATGTCATTCAAATTTGCACTTTTTTATACTACTTTGAATGGCAAACAAGCTGACGGCCTACCTGATGGAAAATGGTTATCGTCGCCTATAGACATGTGCAGTATCATGGACAGAACAGAGTATACTGTTTCGTCCATGATACCCTCCATGCGTTGCCATTCCTGAGGACTCAGATGTTATTCCTCTGTACCCCGTAAATTCACGCCATATCCCACCCTTCAAATCGAAACATAGCCATGCAAACACAACTGCTTTATGGTTGATACACCAATGGGACAGAGGTACCCAAGCAAACGACTTTTGTACAGTCTCCCTCAGGTTTGAACTGAAGAATACATTTGTAAATATCATCATCATCATTATCATCTTCCTGTTCTTATCCCAATTAATAAAACTGATACGAAAGTAAACCCTATAAAAATATAGTTATCCTTA